TCCTACAGCCTACCCACCCCTTCATTTCCCAAGCTATATTAATTTTATGATTCTGAAAGGCTAGTCCAGGGGCGAACATTTATTGGCCTTGCAAATAAACATATAAAAATAAGTAACTAAAAATATAATTGGCATGAAATAATCTTAGTGTTTCGTGAAGGATATGTGAAAAAATGCTTAAGGCAAAATCAAGACCAGATACAAAGTATAGCATCTACTAAGGTTAGTGTGATTAACTTGTCACATAAATATGTTTAAGACAAAATGATCTAGCACTAAAAACTATTAAAAAGGTCTCCTGCTGACATTTTATCACTAAACATGTCACACTGCTTTCCTTTCACAGAAAAAAAAAAACCCGAAAATTCGTTTACTAAGAGCAGCAATATATAACCTTAGCCTTTAAATAACTCATGTGCTCCTTTTATGGTTTTCATTCCTCAAAATAAAAACTTTGTCATCCATATTATATTCTAAAACCAAAAGAAATGATTGTATCTCACTGAGGAATGAAGAATTTTTCAGGATGTATTTTAGAGCTTTTATTGAGTATAGTACAAATTATGAATGAATATATTTTCTTTAAAAACACGTTATTGACAGAAATCTATCAATAATAATGTGGGTATTGTCAAGGGCCTGTCAATATTAATGTAATTATGATTAAGAGGATAACATGGATTTCAGGCATAATACCAAGTAACATCTCCTACATCGCTGCTATCAATATACACATTATTATTGACCTCTTCTGAGACTCTCAGTACTAGATGTATTACCATTAGGCATATTTGTCAATGCATACTGCCTACAAAAATTCTACATTTAAATTTACAGTCCTGTAAACTTTGTCAGCAGAAACATGAGATTCCCAAGTAATCTCTAAAGTATTATACCCACCCACACACCCCCGACAGGCTATTCTTTTCCAGCTCCACAGTAATCAACTAATTTTTAAAATGACAATGTCACTGCCACACTGTCTTAAGGGTAATCGAAGCGGATGAGACCATATATTCATTTTCTTGCTTTTTAAAAATGTTAAACTAACATTTCATATTATGAGATTATGAGAATAAAATTCTATGCCTGGATATCTTAAGTTTTGTACCAATATTCTACTATTTTATTCCCTTAGTGTAGTCAGATAGATTTACTGTTCATTGTATTGAAATCAATACTAATAAATGGGACATGCATCAAAGAGGGATTTAGCAGGACACTGATTCCCACAATGTATTTCAAACATGGGCAAAAGAGTATAAAAGCTATGGCTGAAACCCATTAAAACACTGTGACTTCTGGCACTGTGAACAGGCCTAGAATCAACAACTCTAAGTTCAAATCCCACTTCTGCCACAAACTTGCTAAGTGACTTGTCACTACTCTTTTGTTTCTCTTTCATTACATATAAGCTAAGTTTTAATAGCTTTAGTCATCTGATGTTACACATGACAATCATGCTCACTTTGGACACACAACATTTTAAAACTGCGTTACAGAGGCAAGACTTCTAAATTACTCTTAATTTCAATGCAAGCTTCATCAAAATTTAAACAGGATTTTTCTTTTGGGGTTAGTAGTGGGTACATGACAAAACATTTCTAAAATATATCTAAAAGATAAACTCCAAAATAGTACACATTTCTCAAAAAGATTAATAATGACTAGTAACTTGCCCTAGTAGAGGTAAAAAAATTTTTTTCCCCACTTGGAGAACAAGGGGGAACTCATCACAAATACTACAGTTTTCAAGACTACAATTACAGTCTTACACTATTAACTGAGTACCTAACTTATTTCACAAACAGTATACTTATTCAAGTATCTAAAACGAACACAAAATACTTTTTTTTAAGCCTTAAGACAGAGTTTCTAATACCTTGGTCTAGCCTTACAAATACATTTTAAAGAGAATGGTATGTCAATACTCTTTTCTTTCAGAAGGATATTACTGTGAAAATAAAGAACAAGTTTTTGAGTGAATATTGGGCAAAGGAGTTAAACTGCCATCGACTAGTTCTGCATTCTAGCCCAGGGTCACTAAAAAACTGCATGACTTTGGGCAAGTCATTTTCCGACACTATACTCTGCATTGGCTAAAAAAAATAGAGCAACTACAAAAAGTCTAAACTACACACCTCGAATCCCTATGGGAAAACTGTTTTAGGAAAGCTGGGAAGTGTTAAAAAAAAGTCCTCAAAGGGAAACGTTTTGCCCATGTGGAAGAGATGAAAAAAACAGGAGAAGCACTAAAAGGCATCAAAATGGACAAGTTCAAAACTGTTTTGAGCAGTGGAAAGAAGCGTCTTAATAGGTGTATTGCATCAAAAGGAGATTACTTGGAAGCTGACTGAAGTTTAAACATGTAAGAATAAATATGCAATTTTTAATAAATAAATTCCATTTTTTTTTTTGGTCTCCCCTATTAAAAGAACAGCTATTTCCTACTGCAAACATATGTTTGGAAAAGGTTAAAGAAAGTAGAGAAATTAGAGCAAGACATGCAAGACAGAGAAAATCTTTCTAGAGGGTAATAGTGAAGCATTAAGGAAGACAATCACAATGAACTTGTTAGTTTACAATTGTAGAACACACCACATATCACTTACTTACCAGTTATTGAATGTTAACAAGTGATCACTAAAGCTGCCATAAGCAAAACTAAATATAAAATCATTTAATCATTAAAAAGAGTTCTTTTATTATTTGTGTTCTAAAACAAGGAAACTGAGGCACAGAGAGATTAGCTGATTTATGTAAAGTAATATGACCAGAAGTGGCAGAGCCATGCTCTGAATTACTGTCCTATACTAACAAGGTGGTGAAGGGTCTAAAAGTTAACAATAAACACTTTAGGATGGTACAAAGGACGCACAGATGGGACTGTTTTAAGAGACTAACTACTAAGAGTACTATGGCCAAAATTCTAATACAAGGAAGAACAAGAGCCGCAAGAAACACACAAAGCAGCTAGATCTTTAAGTACTCTATAAATTTGGAAAAGGGCTTTAGAATCTAATTACTTAAGAAGAGAATTCCAAATGACTTGAAAATTATTGAAACACACATTTAATTGCACATTTTATGGCATGAGCTTATGTGGAAATATCCCAAACCAACAAAGAGGCATTAGCAAGGGAAGGAGAAACTACAATGAGATTCATACTGTGTGCAGGGCACCCCACCCGGCATCACTAGGACTAAGAACTTTACTAGCAATGTGATGCTGGGCAAGCCTGCGAACATCTTGAAGGCTCAGTTACTGAATATATAAAATGCAAAATATTTCCCTTCCTATTTCAAGAATTAGTGTGAGCACCTAATAAAGCAAAACTTGTATGGCTAAAATAAAAGGATATGGGAAAGATAGGAAAATAATAAATTATGATTCTGGTCATAAAGAAAAAAATTAAATTTCAAGTTTGTATCTATAAAACAAATAAGACTGAATATGAACATGTTTTTAGTTTTCAGAAATATATTAACTGTGAATAGATATCATTTTTAAAAACTGTAATAAAGCCCACTGAATGCAAAGAATAATTATCCTAAGAAACAGAATTTTAATGCTAGTAAGAAAAAGAAGATCATCTAGTCTAAGATATAAAATTAATCTTCTTACCAGGAACTCTGTAATTCAAGTAGAACACAAATAGCTGCTCTTGTTAAAATACACCTGAGGGTTGGCTTGCTTTGCCTCTCCCCTGCGTGGCTTCAGAAAATTACTACAGAAGTTCTTCTACAGAATAGCTTTAAATCCACAGATTGAGTGCTACCACTAAATTCTAAACTTCACCAGAAGGTGAAGTTGTTCAAAGGCAAACCAGAGTAGGACTGGAACCTAACTCTCTTAATTTAGTCTAGTATTCGCTCAATGGCCTGTCACTTCTATTTTGCTTTTCTTTTTTTAGGGAAAAAAAAATATGAAGAGCTCTCTTTCTGACTTCGTAAATAATTCCGCTATTTCTCTCCTTTTAAATCACCTACTGGCTCAAGATCATGCAACTCTAATCTTTCTGGATACAAATAATAATATGAGTGAAATTAGACAAGAAGTAAAAACAAAAAAAACAAAAAAAGAAGCCAGCCACCCCAAGTTCATTCTGTTCAGGTTTAACTAAAGGTAACACAGTTGGGGAAGATGTTTAGACTACAAACCATGGTGTCCAGGAACAGCAGCAGTTTCCTTGTAATTGCTTGAAACTGTCGAGATAAAAAATTTTAAAGGGCACCACTAAAGAATCCCAGAAAATGTTAGACCTAAACGTTCAACAACATGGTCTAATTTTGCAGGAAGCCCTTTCACTAAATGTTCGATGTTTGGAAAATGTTACCTAAATAAATCAAAAATAAACAATGGTATTTTTTTTAAAACTCTAGGACCCAAGGAAAAACATGTTAAAAAGTCTCACATTCTCAGATTTCTTACCAGAAGTCAATGTGAAATATAACTAACTTACCGCAAGCAATTTATAAGAAAATTTTCGTGGTCTCTTTCCCCGTAAGAAAACCAAACGGCTTTTAAATGAATGCGCTCTGAAAAATGTTGGAAACCTAAGCATACTCGTGTTGTTTTGTACCTTATATAACACGACATGAACCTTCAGGTATTAAGGGAAGCTTGGATCCTGAATGATTCTCACTAAAGCCGTTTACAAGAGGTAAATCTCTCCACGACCGCCCAGGGCGAGGGAAAGATTTCCAAGTTCGACTCTAGAAAGTCGCTACGTGGAGTGCAGAGGGGCTCGATTCTAGCTGTAGAGTGTTTATTTTTAATGGCGCGATCCTGTGAATAGTTTTAGGATTTTAGGTTTGCTCCACTGCCTTTCCCGAAATCAAGAGACTTTGATTTGACTCTTCCAGGAAGACTGGAAGCCAGTCAACGGGGGAACTCTAGCAAAGGGCGACAGTCACAAGGTCGTGAAACTGCACGACAACCTCCCGGCTGCGAGGAAGACCTCAGGTTTGCACGCCGGCTCTCTCCGGCAGACACTGACCTTAGGAGGCTGCGAAACGCCCACGTTCCACGTAACTTTTTCTGAAACATTCTCTGGAAAGCTTGGCTTTTCCTAGCAGAATCTGGGCTGGCTACCCAGCTTCCGGAACGCGCTGGCTTCCGGAGCGTCGCAGGACCCGGAAGTGGCTGAAAGAAAATGGGAAAATTACGCCAACGAAAGCTAAGCTTTAGCCGGTTGCGGAAGGCACCGGCGGGCCCAGCGTCGCGAACACCGAAGAGCCGAAGAGCCGAAGAGCCGAAGAGCCGAAGAAAACTGCGCGCGGTGATTGGTTGGCTGGTCGGAGGAACTCCGTCTTTGATTGGCAGGAGAGTCACGAACCGGTCGGCCCCGGGTCAGGGGCCGCAATTGAAGAGGCTGCGGTGTCAAGGGGCAGAAGGGAAGCCCGGACAGTCGAGGGCAGTGCTCTCTCCGCCGGCGGCGCCGCACCGGGCCGCGGGACAAGCGCTGCCGGGGGGGTGGCGGGGCGCCTCTGCACCTCCGGGGCTCCTCGTTCGCCTTCGGAGGAGGGCCGCTGGCGGGGTGACCCGGTGGGGAGCTAGAGCTCGGCCGGGTGGCTGCGTCGGCCGCCGGGCGGTTGTGCGGCAGGTGAAGAGACCTGCCCTCCACCGGCGCCGGTGTGCACAGGTTGGGTAGTTTGTTGATCTCCGCGTGCTCCGGAAGGCGGGTAGCCGGTCCAGTCAGTCGCCCACCCTGCAGAGCTGCCCCCGAGAGGCCTCGTCCGTCGGACAGCGTGCACCTGGCCGCAGGGTTTCTGCCCCAAATCCTCCCGGTGACTAACTCTTAGAAACACTGGTCGCGCACCCTTGGGAAGTCGAGTCAAAATTTCTGGGAATAGAGTTTGAGGGAAGAATGCTCATTAGGCAATTGTGTGTAGCCAGAGTTGAGGATCGCCGCTGTCTTCTCATTGTATAGTATGAATGGCAGCATCTGTCTGGCGGGTGGGTTCTAAGGTTCGAATGAAGTCAGATAGTTAAAGATTCCTGCGCATAGTAGGTTTTAAGAACGTCTTAGTTCTTGCTTCCAGCCTCAACCGCCACCTACCCAAGCAGCACTCATCTGTACAAGAGCTCTATTGTTAGACAGTTGAGAGAGCTCATACTGTAGACACTGTGTTATTATTAAAGCTTTTTTTAGCTTGTATTTTTATCTCAGAAATTACCATGTGGTGCAGAGTTGTTAAACGCATCGTATGAGACACGGCAAAGATAAAAGAAAATTTATCAATGAACTCTAATACTACCCAAATTCATTTTTACGTTAGAGATGTACAGTTTAGCCTATATCTGGAGTATTGCCTTCTGTACGTTGGAGATCTTTTAAAAAATGAGACTGAGGAGGAGGATGTTATATTAGTGAAAGAGTTCTTTCCACCATGTGAAGCAATACTACAAATGAGATAGTTTAGAAACCACAAGTTGATAGAGTATGTACTTCCCTCAGGGATGGGGGAGATTTTCTAGAGCTGCATCTGTCCAAAATGGTAGTCACTGGCCACTTGAAATGTGACTGATCTGAACGAACTGAGATCTGCTCTATGTATAGAACATGCGCCAGATTTCTAAGGCATGGTAAGAAAAAAAAAGAATAAAGTATTTTATTATTTTTTATATTGATTACATGTCAGAATGAGAATGTTTTGGAAATTTTTTAACTACATATGTGGTTCTCATTATATTTCTATTGGATGCTGCTGTTCTAGAGAGTAAGAAAATCTCTTTGAAGAGAACCAAGTCTTTCATTTAGTAATTGTGAAGAAAAGCAGCCATGTTGCACTTCTCAGGTAGCCTATAGATGTACTGTGCTCTGCTTAATTTTTATGAGGGGGGGAGGACTGCCCCCCCCCCAATGAGACTGACATACAGGACATTTTCAGAAAGCAAATGTAAGTACACTCTATGGAGCCTTATGAACATGTGAACATCAGCACCACAGATTCTATTGAAAATAACAATACCAAGTCATCAAGTTTGAATTTTGTTTAATGAATCTCATCAAAAATGCAAGGAAACATGTATAACACCTAAGATTCTGTTGAAATTGTTTAAAATAAGTTATGGGTTTTAATGTTTAACCTCTAGATAAAGTATACCTTTCTAGTTTTCCAGTGAACTATTGAGCTGAGGTTTCAGGGAAAATTTGTTTTCAGTTTTATATACTTTAAATATATATTTTTCATTCTTTTATTTAACAAAAAGCTTTCTTGGGCTCAGGAATTTTGCTAGGCAGTGTTGGTAAAAGTGTGAAGACAAAAGACAGACATGGCATTTACTCACTAGGAGCTAATTCGTATTGATTCAGAGACAGTGAATATGTAGATAATAAGCAAGGCATAGTGTATTTTGCCTCTGAGTAAGTGCTTACCCCTGTAAATTCAATATGTTTGTTGTTTTAAACCTAAAATTTCTGTGTTCTTGCTGACATGTTAAGCGTCTAAAAGAGCTTGACCATAGGCTCAAGATAAAGTAAAAATCAAATTCCTTTGTTAATTATGAGAACCTAAAGAAGAAAAATTAAAATGGAATTTTTAACCTTTAAATATATATAAAAGATGAAAAAAATTATAACAGCATGTTATATTCTGTTAGCCTTTTACCAACTTTTAGTTTTAAGAATTTAATAATAGAAATGCAAAGATGACATTGATTTATGCCCCTAATATAGTTTAAAATTGCTGACTTTAAGAAACTAAATTTATTTTAGCATATTACATAGTTCTTAAATCAATATATCTGAGTCTTTTAAGAAAAAGCTAAGCATAGATCTTATGTTAGTTTACAATTGCTCCTGTAACAAATTATCACAAAGTTAGTGGTTAAAAACAATATTATTATCTTACAGTTCTTTAGGTCAGAAGTCCAACATGGATCTCAGTGGGCTAAAATCAAGGTGTCCACAGGCCTGTGTTCCTTTCTGGAGACTTGATGGAAGAATCTTCTTGCTCATTTAGGTTGTTGGCCAAATTCAATCCCTTATTATAGAATTGAGTTTCCTGTTTTTTTGCTGGCTGTCAGCTGAGGGTTGTTCCCAGGTTTTAGAGGCCACCCACACTCCTTTGTTATACCGCCTTTCTCTATGTTCAAAGCTAGCAACAGTGGGTTGAAACCCTTTTCTCCTTTCTCTTATTCTGTTGTATCTCTCCCATTACAGCCTTTTAAGAATCCATTGATTATGTTGCATCTCCCCATTTCAAGGTCCACAACTTTAATCACATCTGTGAAGTCCCTTTTATCATAATAAAGTCACATATTCACAGGTTCCAGGGATGGGGAATGGCCATCTATAGGAACCATTATTCTGCCTACCACAGATCTCAATTGAGGCTGAGCAGTATATCCGGTACTTCTTACCAGTATTCTCAACACTTTATGCTAGAATAATAATGTTGATAATAACAGGAACATTTTATTGAGCGTGTATTATGTTCCAAGCACTATTCTGAGCGCACTCATTTAATACGTAGAACTACATGAGGAGGCAAACACTATTATTATTCCCATTTGCAGATGGGGAAACAGGTATAGAAAGCCTAACTTCTTACAGCTATTAAATGGTGGAATGGGGATTTGAACATATGCATCTGGTTCCAGAGCCTGTGTATGCTCTGAATCTCAACATAATAATGATAATTTCTGAATATCTGGATTTTCCTAAACATGTGTTCATGATATAATGGCAACGATTCAAATTTTGTCTACTAATTACTAGATGACCTTGGGCAAGTCACGTAACCTCTGACACTGATCAGCAATACAGTAAATCAATAATTCTTGAGGATTAAATGGATACTATAAGTATGGGACAAAGAATAGTGCCTCCACATACAGTGATGCATCTCATAACAGTGGGGATATGTTCTGAGAAGTGTGTCATTAGGCAGTTTCCTCATTGGGCAAACATCGTAGAGTGTACTTAAACAAACGTAAATAGTATAGCCTACTACATTCCTAGGCTATACGGTATAGCCTATTGCTCCTAGGCTACAAACCTGTACAGCATGTTCCTGTACTGAGTATTATAGGCAACTGTGTATCTAAACATGTCTAAACATAGAAAAGGTAGAGTAAAAAAACAGTATTATAGTCTTAAGGGACCATCGTTGTATATGCTGGCCATCGTTGTATATGCTGGCCATCATAGACCGAAATGTCATTATGTAGTGCATGACTGTAGTAAGCACTTGCTGGCTACAATTAATGGCGACAATTCACTTTTTAGAAACTTTATTATAAAATGAAATGTTTCCTATATGTGTATAGTCTTTAATTGTGAAAATTAAAATTTTTATTTTAACACATCACAGTGCTATCACCTTTCTCAGCTCTGATTTTCCCTCACTCCAGTCTTGCCTTTTTTAGGCATGTTACCTTCAGTGTTATCTGATCATGCATTTTGAACCCTTTGTCCAGACCCTAGTTGTTCCAGGTTAAGGTCCAAACTCCCCAGAAGGACTTTTTCACACACTTCAAATACTCCATCTGCCTAGTGTTTACACAGTCATCAATTCTAACTTCTTACTGTTCTCATTTACTTTTATTATGACTTGAGGGAGGCCTGTGTGTACATGTGTGAGTTGGGGGCAATGACATAGCCTGGGTCCTGGGCATAATGCCTTCTAATACAACTCCAAATTTACTCTCTCATTTCAAACAATCTTTGCTGTCATCACCTTAATTCAAATCTTCATTATCTCTGTAGTTTAAGTCATCTCTTAACAAATTGGTGGCCTCCAGTCTTACTCGCTCCTTCAGGCTTACTCTCCTCCCTGCTTCTTACAATGATGTTTTGAAAATACAAAACTATGTGTCACTCTCCTTCCTGAAATCCTTCAGTACCATCTTTGACAGTTTCTTTTTCTGTGCTTCTTGACACCAGTTATGTGCTTCTACTGTAGCATATAATGTATCGCATAATTGTTTATACTCATCTTTCTTTCTAAATCATGAACTCATTAAGAATAGAGCCATAAGAGATGGTTTTGTTTGAATGAATTTATATTATTTTGTGATAATATAAGTCATTGTATTATTTTGTCATTGCCTGTCTTTTGACAATCTGTGAACTCTTTAAGTGGAGGCTCATTGTTTTACTAATTTCTCTTTTTCGTGCTTATGGTATAGGAAGTGCTTAGTAAGTAATTGTTGAATGAATGAATGAATTGGGAAAAATAATTCAGAATATAAACAATGTTTTAATCTGTTTATATCTAATATATATATATATAACAACTAATTGGGAATATGTATGATTA